GGGACCACTGCCAAGGGGATGAGCGGCCAGCGGCGGCGGACACTTTCTTACGCGCCTCACACAGCATCGCATGGGCCCAACCGCGTTCATAAAGTAACACCACGTCAATGTTAAATAATCTGTTGTTATAAATATACCAGTTTACCTATAATTACAGTCCACGTCATTTAAAGCTCCATAGGACCCTTCTCTGCTGAAGGCTGCGCATGTGGCAGAAGGGGCGCCTATACGCGCCTACATGCGCTTCCGAAAACGAGTTTGTACGCGCGTATAAAACGCTAGTCTGAAACCGCTCTTACTCACCGACAGAAACACAACATCACCGAAAGGTTATGTTATTTTATTTGCTTCTTCTATAAGGAGCGTTCCAATTCGAGCGGGAAATCAACTATGCTACTCTACCACAACTACCTCTCTCAAATCTTCATGACATGTTTAAAGTATGTTCGGAGAATGAGGTAACTCATAAACGTAAGTCAATTCAGATGCCAGTTGATAATTCTAAAACTACACAAATTAATTTGAAATCCACTCGAACAATCGATTTTAATTGCCGATATTAATGAAACTTAGTAGATGTTAGTTAGGTTTTAATAGCGCATTATATTTTATTATAGCATGAAACGGAGGAGCTGTTTGCCACCATAGGTATCCGTGTCAAGAAATCCCATTAGGTAGTAAACTATTTCATTATTAATCTTCCTACTACTGTATTAAGACCAACATAATATTATTTATGCGCCTTACATTTCAATGAATTAAATGATATCGATTATGCACAGTGAATTCAAATAACTATTGCTTATCCTACACCAGCTTGACGAAGCTTCGGGTGGCTTTGGTACTACAAGGCGCTAAAATTAGCGTTCAAACTTTGAATTAATTACGCTGCACATACAAATTTATCGTTTCCAAGAACATCTCTTAGTGTGTCGAATTATCGCCAATCAAGGTGAGCCAAGCTATCATCTAGCGTCTATAAAAATGCAGCCGGTTAATTCAAATTTCGAACGCTTATTTTAGCGCATTTAGTACCAAAGCCACCCAAATCTTTGTCGCAAAGATGTGGGGGAAGAATTTGAAGCATTTGAAATAAGTTTTAACTCAAATGAGGCTCAAAGATTACTTATAAATTTTAATTAAGTATAATCATAAAGATTTATGCAAAGTTGTTACTATGAGTAGTAGTAATAATAAAAATATCGTCCACATAGGAAGCAGTCAACGCTTTTTAATTCCTTTAGACTAAAGCTTCAAAATGTCCAAACTCTGCAATCGAATTAAAACTATCAGTCCCACCACTCACCACGAAGATTGAAAATCTGTTGTATAATTCTGACAGATAAGAATAGTCTGAAGAGTTGCTGTGCGTACATGATAGCTGGGTAATATGAGGGGAAGCTCTACCGCTGTATTAAAACCATTTTTAAATGAGTAATTATAGCGGGTGTATGTTCTGATTTACTGAGCATTGCTTAATTAGTTTGACCACGGACGCTGAGTTGCTTTGATTGACGGTGTGTACGTAACGTCATCACCGTTATTATTGTAATTACACGTTACAAGCGTGTCAAATTATCTGTTTAATATAACAGATGCGTTTCGTCTTGTGTCCGAACTAGGGTTGGCAGATCAAGAAGTCAAAATATCATAACATTTGAAAATGTCGGGATTTTGGGATTGTTGTTAGGATAATTACACCCGCCTCCCCCCTTGCCGGAGGTCTCACTTCACGTCATACTTAAGCTAGACGTGGACAGGAGCGTTGCCAGACGTCCCGATTTTTAAAGCAAAATTAAATGTCCCGCGCGGGACAGTCTCAATCCCGCTTTTCGGTAATAACTCGACCGTGCATGCAGCGTACTGATAAAGCGCGGGCGGGTGGCACAGACAAGTATGGACTGGCCCCCTGCCTGGCGCGTAATGAAGAACTCTTAAACAAAGACTCAACTATTTAACGATGGGGTAAATCTGATTTAAAATATCATATTTTGTTGAAAATAAATTTTCTGTGGATATTTTTACTAGGTATCTATCTACTGTCACGTAAACGTTATTTGAACTAAAATAAAATGATAAATATTCAAAAAATTTTGATTATATACATTTTTTTACTATGTCCCGCTTTCGACGAAAGAATCCCGCTTTTTTCACTCAAAAAGTTTCTAAATCCTGAGTTGGCAAAAAAAAAATCTGCCAACGCTGGTCACAGAGCAGATTTCTTTACTTGCCGGGAGACTGAAGATCACAAAATTGCGGGAGAATACAGACGATTCCCGACCATTTGGCAACCCTAGTCCGAACGGGTAACCTGTCTTGTACGGTGTTAACGCTTATTAATAATTAACCACCAACGGTGTCACTTTTGATGAGACCTGTGTTTAGTTTGATACGTGGATACAGTGCTAAGGTTACGTTTAAACGATTTGCCTGTTTACGACGACGATGGCGGAGTGAACTTGTATTATAAAATAATATGAGTCGTTTTAATTATAGTATGCTCTTACCACTATATTTAATTATAGAGCTCTTCGATACAAATAGTACAACAAACATTTTGCAATATGTTTTTTTATTGACTACATACTAAAATTCTGAATTAGATCGAAAAAGTTGCATGATAACGCTGCTAAAATCGTGTGTGAAATTGGTTTAATTCAACAGATTACTGTTTGATGTGAACCGGTAAAGCGTACTTCGATTAACAGTAAAGTGTTTCTTAATATCAACATAACATAGTTTTTTTTGTTTACTCACTTTTAGCTATCATATTTATATTTTAAATATTTCGATTTAATTTTTAAGCTCCTCAATTTAAGTGATCTACATACACATGCTGATTTACTAGCCGGTTTAGTTTAGCCAGTACAAGGTCTCCTACCGTAGTTTTGCGAATCGATGGCGCAGCTTCTGACTGAATAAATAAATAAATAAATATTTCCAACACTCACATCAATTAGCTTACCCTGTAAGCTTGTGTTATGGGATACTAGGGTAACGGACAGAATACATATACTGGACATATAAGTATATTTGTATAGAAATCCATGACGAGTACAAATGCTCGTAGTCATCACACAAACATCTGCCTCCTGGGACCTCTCGAGCAGGCGAAACAATGAAACCCGACGAACAAACCACTTAGCCACGGAGGTCGTCAAATGATAACTGATTTTCGAGTTTGAGTACGTATTTTCCATAGGTGATCTACTACACACTGGTGCTTCCCCACACCTGTGTGACGAAGCTTTGAGCTTCGGGTGTCTTTGGTACTGAATGCGCTAAAATTTGCGTTCGAAATTTGAATTAGTTCTATCGTAATGAATTAGCAGGCTTTGGTAGCTTTCCAATAACAGCATTATAGCGCATTATGCGGCATAATGCTTAACGTTGAGTGTTCCAACTACAGCAACGCTTCGCACAATTGAGCACTCTCAAAAGTAATGCTTTCGTGTGATGCGTGCAATCGTACCAACTCAGAGACAGAAAATTAACAAGTGTTTTTTCTTTAAGTTGGCATTGATCGAAATGTTTTATTTATATGTTATCGTTAGTTATATTATTTATTGTTGAAAAATTATTAAAACTTTCATTTCATCATAGTTTTTTTTTAAATAATCAAAGTTAATTCAAACTGTGTTAAAAATTAAATATAAATATGGATGAAGGTACAAACATTGACTTTTTTTTACAACACTGAACTTAGCGCACTCTGCTGGTGCATTTGAAAACTAATTCATGTTCCAATTAAGCATCAGCATAATTCGGCATTGTGCGGCACTGAGTCGCATTATGCTCTGTAATTGGAAAGCAACCTTTGTAGCTATAGACGCCAGACGATAGCTTGACTGGCGATAATTTGACATGCTAAAAGAGGTTGTCGAAAGCGATGAAAATTAATATGCAATACTCTTAGCACGAACCAAAATCGAATTCGTATTATATTTGCTAGTAAGAAATGTCATTGTCAAATGTGTACTGATTTTTAGTTCTCTTTACGTAGGTACGATATGGCACTAATTTTCAAGTTTTCATACAAAATTTGACAATGACATTTCGGACTCGCAAACTATTCGAATTCGATAATGGTTCGTGCTAGTCATCTGAAGGAGCGTACTTAACTTCAAAGTTCGAACGCAAATCTTAGCGTGTTTTGGTGCCAAAGCCACCCGAAGCTTCATTACGCAGGTGTGAGATAAGCACGAGAAGATATTTACATATAGGAAAATATATACTTTCGTCTAATCAGTGCGATGGCTCACATGTGTCGTAGAAATAGATTGCCTTCGTCGATAAGTGTCGATCGGTCGCATGCGTGCTGAGTGAGCCACACGATTTCTCGTGATCGCCACACTCTCATCCACCGACTGCGCAAAAAAGTTTATTGCAGCTATTAAGCAGCTGACCTTACAGCCTGATTTTACTTTTTCCGAATGCGATGTATTCAATGAGACAATAGGTGCCGCTTTCTTCGTAACTATTAGGTATCGAGTATGTAATTTGATAGAACGCGGTCACGTGGTGTTGTGGTATATAATGAGAGCATAATTATCCTGATTGTATTAAAGTTCGCTGATAATTTTTATATAATTGATTACATTTAAGTTTTTTCATGACTGCATGACCACAGAACATAAAAGAAGGACCGGAAAGAAAAAAAAAATGTTTACTTTGCCATTTAGTAATTAGAAGCTTTGCAATTATGTATAGGTACGAAACATAGAGATGTCAATACCTAAAATAATATCAAAACACATTTGTTTTGCGATTAATCTAAAATATCGGGTATGTTGTTTAACAAAAAAATGTAATGTATTGTCGCATAATGAATAATAGCCTCTCAGATAAAACTGTTAAAGCCTAGTTGCAGCACATTAGCTGGGTTAAAGAAGAATTATTTGAGTGGTGCCTTTGATGGATGACGATTTAAATAGCGCTCACGACGTATGACCGCAAATTCTTCTTAATATGCGTTTAAAAGTACATCATTAGGGACAGTGATGTCCAGACTGAGACTATATGGCTTAGAGGTCAGTCGAAAAAAGAAGTTGACGATTTAATTGCTTTAATTCCTGGTTTATTTAGTTAAATTACTTTAGAGTTATTTAAATTAGATTACTGTTATTATTTGTTGGAGTTCTAATGTAATTTCAAAACGCTGTAAGTTAACTTAAAACAGTGCACTCAAAATGAAATCCCTATAGGCCTACCAGCAGTGCTATCCTGTAAAATTTTCACGCGCGGATCCGGTGTGGATCCGCACGGATTTATATCGGAACCGCGCGGATCCACATCGAAAATTTTTACAGAATAGCACTGCTGATATTATTACTTTTGTTATATAAGTAACATGTCCACATGTTCTGATATTGTTTGTCCACGCTTATATATTTATAATCCTTACTAATATTAAAAATGCGAAAGTAAGTTTGTTTGTTACGCTTTCATACCTAAACCACCGAACGGATTAGGATGAAATTAGGTATGCATATAGTTTATTACCTGGATTGAAACATGGGACACTTTTTATCCTGGAAAAAATGCAAGTTTCTGAAGGGATTTTCAAAAAAAAATTACACGGGCGGCCGCTGGTATGTTACATATCAATGTTAAAAATATTTACGGTAGGTATATACTCTGGTGATCCGTAAATAAAACTAAAGTATTTACGTTACTTTTTTTCGTGAACTGTCAAACAGCAGAACTTTAACCTGTTAAGTACACGAGTAGGTAGTAGACTTCAAGTTGACTTACATGGTTGTAATTGTAAACAACTATAAAACCAGCGCGCGAGTCAATCATTTATGCGGTTCTTTTGATAGACAGGCAGACGAGCAGCCGCCTCGAACGCATGATGAATGGCCGCAAATTCTTCACTCATTCCAGAGTGTTTACTTGTCTATTTATTTCTGAACTTACAAGTGTCTTTTAGATGGTAAAATCGTTTTGTCTTATTACACCAAAAATATTCTAAAACTCAATGAAATAATATATTTAGGTCAAAATTATAACACATTTACAAACGCTATAAGTCTACTCACTAGATTGTAATTATTTTAATTACCTTATTTACAGTTTTCAAGATTTGTTTTGCTAAACATTATATTTATGTAATTCTAGAGTAGGTACAACTAACTACTAACAAGTAATTAATTGTAATCGTTCAACAAAAGGAAATAAAAATATTTTTCCTCATACGATATTCACCTTTCGACAGCTAAGTGTTAGCTTATGCCGATGTTGCATAAGCTTAATTGCTTCTTTGAATAAGGATGTGATAAAGTTGCTTTCACATTAAGATCATAATATGTGCAGTTAGGATGCAATAACGAAAGCGCATCTCGGTTTGAAAGCCAGCCTGTTAGGAGACCGGCTGCACCTAGCTTTCCAATCTAGACTCAAGAATATGCCTTCAACATTAATGTATCAAACTTTCACCTGGCGACGGACCTGCATCCGCTGCGCTCGCCACCCCGAGGGCGAGAGAGAAGGCGTGCAGTGGGTTTGGACATGTGCTATTATTATTTCCATTCAAATAAACTTACTTATTTAACTTAGTTACTAAAATGTGTTTGCGAATCTATAATAACATAATGCAAACATGATCAATGGCGGTACATACTGGCCGAATTAAAAACCACGTCCTTTTTGAAGTCGTTTAGAAATAAAATAAAAACAACAAGACGTTAAGAATTTAAGAGTGCAAATGAATTTATTAACAAATTCACTATTCAAGTTTCCACTGGACTGGCAAGTCTGCATCATTCTTTTTCAGTCATTTGATACCTACGAGATAGATTGTATAACCTGCATCTTCATAGTCAAGTTTTTTTCATATTGCACGGTAGCAACTTGCTTAGTATAAGTTAAGTTACGTTTACAGAATCCTAGTCCGGTGCAAAATCGCCACAGCTTGTGTCATTAAGCTCTTATAGTACGACTATCTATCTTATAGACTCTCAGGTATTTGTTAATAATTTAATTTAGATTACACCAAGAAATTCTTGGATTTTGCTATACAGTTTATTAAGTAGAAGGTTACTCAAAAACTTTGGAAGTTTGTTTCGGAAATTTTTTGATAATATAGAATGAGGAAAGGTATTTTGGTTTGGTAGAAAATTGATTTTCTTTCGATCGGTATAGGTATTTGACGCAGTTTTACAAAAATGGGCTAAAATTAGCGTTCGAACTTTGAATTAGTTGCACATACAAATTTATTTTTTCCCTTAACCTCTTTTATTCGTATCAAAAATTGCTAGTCAAGCTGTCAACTAGCGTCTTTAGACAAGCAGCCCGATAATTTATTACGATACAACTAAATTAAATTTTCAAAGGCTAATTTTAGCGCATTTAGTACCAAGTTTCGTCAGAGAAAATTGCATATTCATCGATGCTTTTCGGAACAAGTACTCGTATCTTAGTGGCGTTGTAATAAAGCAGTAGTGAATCACTGAATAGCTCGGTGATTATCACTTCCATCTGTCATAAGCAGTAAGCGAAAAGGCCTACAAGAAAGAATGTTAAGCTATAGATCATCGTTGCATTTGTAGAAGTACCCCTCATCAAACTGCGTTAGTTACACACAACAGATTGTAGGTTAAAGGACGCTCTACCTGTGCATCATTCATAGCAGGCGAGTTCCCACAGCGACGATATTAATAGGTTGATGATGATAATTCAATAATCAAGTTGGTCGTTACTCTGTGTCTGCTAGAATCTGGGTTGTATTGTTGGTTTATAATAGCACTAATATTGCAAAGTAGTTGTAATTAAGCAATGATTCGTACACTTATATAGGTATAAAAGAGTGGTCAAATGATATTCAGGGTAATTTTATTTCAAAAAAGATTAAGTCTTACTGTGAGTGGTGTAAAGCTTGGTGGTATAAAAGAGCGCATTGTAGTATAGTTTTTCTCTTATGGTATCGTGCGGCTATCGAGTGGCAGTAATGAGATGTCAATCATGTCTATTCCGATGGACGTCCACGCAGATCGCTGTAATTGCTCCCGGCTTATTATTAATAGCTGGTATAAAAGCCTCATATCCTAAGGATACGATACCTTTTATAGTCCTTTCACTGGACGTCTAAGCTGTTTATAGCTCGTCGATTAAAGTTAGGCCTCATATTAAGTTTAATGCTCATGATAACTTGTCGGCAAACAAATAAAAAGCAAATTCAATAACATTTCTTTGATGGTGTGATTTCATTTTCCAAGATGTTCAAATTTGGACTTTATCACCACTTAACATCAGGTGGGGTAGAGTCATTTGCCTACCTGTCAATATATAAACAAAATAAAATTTTGAGCACGCTAAATTGATAATAGTAATACAGATAACTGTGAGTGCGTGATTGAAATAATATGTACTAAGCATTATTATGTTTAAATATCATAAACAAGACGAAACTTATTATATCTACTTAGGTACTAATAAACAAGTAGGGTAAAACCGGAAGACTTTCCCAGGTTGGAGGGGTAAACCATCTTTCAAAATTGTATTTATTTAGCTAAAATAAAACGTCAATTCGTTCATTGATATTCTGAAATATGACTAATGAACGAAGTAACGTTTTTTATTGAAATTTCACCGTATTATTATGTTGTGAATCCGACTACATATCCGCCATCCAGACTGCGATGTTGATGTAAGATCGGAACGACTTGAAAGTTATTTATAGTGTGAATCCGTCATCATAAGCACCTATTGCCTGTCGAAGATAACATGATCTCCTTATGTGTGGGATGCGGTTGATGGTAATAGCAAGATTATTAAGTACTTATATGTACTATGGTGAGATGATAGTATAATATTTTAACTTGTAAAATGTAACTAATGTTTTATTAAAGTAACATTTAACCAAATTAGTTGGCCAGTAACATATATAAGTCGCAATGTTGGAAATTAAAAAAGGAGGATAAAATACATCAGAATACATTGCACCCTATGCCTTTGAATGCAATACAAAGATAACAAATGTGAATATTTACACGTCTGTATGGACAAAGAATTTCTTGCTAACGCAGTATAAGAATAAAAAATGTAAGTATGCAATAATGAAGATGTGTTTTGTTTAAAAAGGTATTATGAGATTACGTACCTAGTTCTTAACGTCTTTTGATTTGTTCACGTCACACTATACTTGGGTCACATTCGCATGTCAGAGCAGAGCATATGACGTTTCGTGACTTCAAAAAACTGTGGCAAAACGCAAAGTCACCGCGGCCGAAACCGCAATGCACTCAGACCGGCAATTTCTCCACGAAATCGCATTTCACGCTAATGGCTACGAAATTAATTCACCCAGTTTCGTATTACGCAGGTGTAAGAAGTCCTAGATTTTGCATATTGTACCGTAATCCGTGGTGGTGTTGGTGTTGCAGATGTCTATGGGCGACGGTGATTTGATTACTAACTGTCAGGTTAGAGTCGTCTGATATTATGTCCCCTATAAGATGAAAAAAAAACATAAGTATAGGTTATGCTACCACGGCCCTGATGGCCGCGTCGAATTTTTCCTAGCCTTAAGCTGCAAGGCAGCGCCATCTCTTCGCATTGTAGGGAGCCCACAATGTCAAATGAATACTTTTTCAAGTATTAAACATTTAAAAGAAGAAATAGCAATTATAGTTATGTTTTTATTTATTTTTAAGCATTTAACTGCTAGATGTTTAAATCTAAAGAAAAGTTTTACTAGAATAAAATTCACGCGGACCAGGCAGCGGACGGAACTCGAACCCGCACCCTTCGCAATCCGGGCGAATGCACTGACCAATTATGTTACCACGGCCTTGATGGCCGCGTCGAAATTTTTTCTAGCCTTAAGCTGCAAGGCAGCGCCATCTCTTCGCATTGTAGGTCCACAATGTCAATGAATACTTTTTCAAGTATTAAACATTTGATAAAAGAAATAGCAATTATAGTTATGTTTTTATTTATTTTTAAGCATTTAACTGCTAAAATAGATGTTTAAATGTTGATGTTTGAAAAAAAAATTCTAGTAAAACTTTATTCTGACGATGCAGACCTGAAAAGGCTGCGAAACGTCAATAAATAAATAAAGTTCCGTGCATTAATCCGTTAAAACTAGTTTTTTATTTAATGAGTGATGTGCGTGAAAACCTAAGACACAAATATAGGTTGTTAACTGATTGTATTTGTCGTTATGTTAGCGAAGACGAGAATTAATGTGTTAACTTTAATAAACGAAAAATAGTTAAACGAAACGCTGAAACTTAAACATTAGTAAATATCCCGTCTGCTGCCTGGTCCGCGTCGATTTTTTTCTAGTAAACTTTTCTTTAGATTTAAACATCTACCAGTTAATGCTTAAAAATAAAAACATAATTAGTAAATCTAATACATAAAATTCTCGTGTCACGGTGTGCGTAATTGAAGTACCTACTCCGAAACGGCTCCACAGATTTTCGTGAAATTTTTTATGCATATTCAGTAGGTCTAAGAATCGGACAACATCTTTTTTTCATCCCCCTAAATGTTAAGGGTGGTGGTCCACCCTTAAATTTTTATGGACAATATTTTTTGTTTTTATTTTTTATGAAACATAATACAAAAACACATACAACCCTAAATTTTTACCCTTCTACTACCAACCCCTATTTTTTTATGACAGTACGAAGTTCACTGGGACAGCTAGTATAAAATAAAAATAAGATGAAATTACAAATCTTCTAAAGCTAAAAAAGAATTGAATTTGAGGTTCACTCGGTCCAGGTATCAGACGAAATATCAACACAACTAATAAATAAATATTCTTTGTTTTAGCATATTTTACATAAATTATGGGACTTGCTTCATATGGATTTTATATACACCTGTTATAATGCTAATATGAATATGCACATATTCGAGAAACTAGTATACAGCTGCAACAACTTATTATTACCTATTTTAATCGAAATGATTAAGATTTTTCATTTAGGGCAAAATGTTAAAATGTAAGGATATCTAATATTTAATGTTTATTAGACCATTTACAAATACTTTTTAAGGTAAATGGAATTCGAAATGAGTCTCTACCTAATTCCGAGTCTAGTGGAGTAAGAAACGTTGGGCATTAAGATCAAATTTATTGCTCAGGTCACGTCCTAAAGTATTAAAGGTCTATTTTTATTATGTGTACTTTCCTTTTTTATAGTTTCATACTTAGATCTTGAACTGATTTTAAATTACCTTTTTAAGAATAAATTGTGAAACATTTGTTGAAAACATTATTTAGTGATGTAATAACAAGGCTAAATGACATGCGGAAGTATTCCTACTAAAGAGAGAACATTTGAGTAGCTCATTGATTAGCTAGGCTTATTACAGGAGAGCCATAGTAAAATCTTAGGGAAAGAAATTAGATAATACCTACTCATAAGTCAAAACTTCAGTATGTCATCTGGTTGTGAACTATACGAGTAATTAGGTTCTATAGGTATTTAGGTCAACTTGCAGCAATTTTGCTAAATTTCAATTTAACTAGAACCAGATTTAGCCTATGCAATATTGTCAAATTGATATTGACGTTTTGACATTTTTCGAAGGGTTGAAGCTAGTTTTAGTTGAATCGAGATTTAGCAAAATTGCTGCATGTGACCGTGATTTTTTGTAAAATAAAATTTATATAAAAATAATGCAATAAATAGCGATTATGTTGTCAAGTAGTTTTTAAAGAAAAAAAAATACATTTTCTCATCGTATTAAGTAAGTATACCTATGAAACTTTCGAATGATTGTCTATTAGAATGTCTTATTTTACAACAGCTAAATGATTTTATTCAGTATTTACATTTATCGATTTCGTATAAATTTTAGTAGCCGTACACTGTATTGGGAATAAAGGACAATTTTTTTTCCAGTGTAAAAAGGTTCATAGCATTTATTGGGTTTGGTTTTAAAAACTCGGTTTTATATTTTTGTTATTTAATTTGAGTTGGTAATTAGCCTAAATAAAAGTGTTCAATTGCAGGCTATATAAAACATCACTATCAAGCTCTTAAGAAATAATAGGTTTGCAATTTATTGATAGTACCTATAATCACAGGAATATAATGCTTTACTATTATTGTGGACTTGCTTACCTTCAGATTAATTTATGTTTTATTGAGTGTGCATTTTTTTTTTGAAATACTGCAATATTGTTATAGTTTGCAATTTTTTGGATACATGGTGCGAAACTTAGCAACACTAACGATTAACTTATAAATTTAAGAAAAGAAGAATTCGTTCAACTTATGAAATAAGCACTCTATTACGTAGGTAGGTACTAGGTACATTTTAGAATTTTTACTGCCGTATGTGATTTCCTGATTATGTCATTTTATTTTCTTGTTTATGTAATGTTAGTCAAACATGAAAAGTGGTATCTAGACCACATTAAGCAGTCTATAGGCAGTGCTAAATATGGTGTTACTTAATAATGATCATAAGTAATAAAGTGTATAATCTTTTACGTAATTTTATATGACTTTATTAGGTACTCATTTTATTTGCGTAAAATTCTTACCTGACTCGTCATTCACGCACATGCATAAATGAATTATTTGATTTGATTTTGATATAAGGTGTAAATCAATCTTTTCAAATATCCTTCAGGATATTATACATACATAAATAGATTCGTTACCTCTTACAACATTTCCATAATTTTATTTATTTTGCCAACAATAGAATAAAATATAATAATGTTTCCCTAACAATATGACCTTTATGACCAACAACCGATTCCATGTTGTTATCAAACAAAAAAGTTATTTTTCATTCGTTATCCCAAGGAAGTTCCCATGCATGGTTTATGCGGTACCTACTTTAATCTGTACTAATATTATAAAGAGGAAAGATTTGTTAGTTTGTTTGTTTGTATTGAATAGGCTCCGAAACTACTGGACCGATTCGAAAAAAAAAATCATATTTAGGATTTTTGATTATCCGTGATGAACATAGGATAACCTTATATCGCGTAAGCTGCGGAACTCATTGACAATAGAGCAAAGTGATGTACTGAAGTTTTATAGAGGACATCAGTATCTACAAAAAGTCCACGATATCATATGTCTAACTATCACAGTTATGTCACAACAAGAGGTCCCCTGCGGTTACACCCGCGGTTACGAATTTGAAGAAAAAGGTTATAGTGAGTCAAACTTAAAATATGGATATATGCTGTCGCGGACTTTTTTACAGAACTTTTAAAGGGGAACAATTCCATTCCATTAACAAGTACAGAAGGCACAGAGAAGAAATTGAAAAAGAAATCAAAAAAGGTTGAATGAAGTGAAATTTCAAAGGTAAGGTTAGAAGAAGAGCGCGGAGTGCGTTGTAAAGTAGATGAAAGAAACGCGAAGCATTATTTTAAGTAATGTGGAGAAGTAGTTAGGAAAAGTATGGAATAAAGGAACGTAAGGGTGTGTAAGCCCCTGTGCCGGCGAATGGGAGCCAATTAAGTTTAGAACGTAAGTGTGAGACATGGTCGTACTTACAGAGGTTAAAAGTGAAACTAATACATAAATTCTGCAGATGTTCCAGTTTCTTTTGGAGTTCCTTGGAAAGGTCGGAGTTACAGGCATCAGCATAGTCAGTGATAGACAGTAAAAGAGTCTGCGCCAGAGCGATTTTGGTACTGGTGGGCAAAAAGTTGCGTAAGCGGTTAAGTGCGTATGCAGCAAAATTTTCTTCCTGACAGCCTCCACCTGAGTCCTCCAAGAGAAACTGTGCATAATAACGGAATAATAGTCCCATCAAAGGTTATAGGAGGTAAATGTTCAAAAGCGATCCTTGAAATGAAGTAGGAGCTGCCAATTATGATAGCTTGCGTCTTTATGGGGTTCACAGTAAGGCTGAATGACTTACTCCAGGAACAAATTAAAGACAGGACAGAGTTAGTAATCGCTATTGTATCTTTGAGGTTTATAATTATTATGAAGAAAGTCATTATGTATAGTATAAGCCTTACAAAAAACTATAGTCTAAACTACAGCTCTGCACCATAGCAATGCGAGGGCGGGCCACTAGTATTTAAATAAACAATAATATAATTGTAATTCACGAGGCCGTCTGTATTTTGTTTATCTGCCATTATTCAATTTTAGTTATACAGTTGGATTCCCACAATTATTTTGATTCGACAGTACTTCAGTTGTAAAATGAATGACAATGTTTGTTATCTTATTACTATTTAATAGATTGTATTTGAAGGCTCCTTTAATGGATACCAAACATACTTACAGAAAAGGTTTTATGTATGATTAGAATTAGGTATGCCACCAACTGTTACATTTGCATATGATTTTTGAAATTATTTGTGCTTTCTTTAATTTGGTATTTTGTTTCTGGATTTTTCTCTCTGTGAACTCTATGTGTCACCACTTCTATTTAGTAGATTTTTGTCAAGTTAATTTACACCACCAGTCAAAATCGTTTGTCTTATTTCCTTTTGTTTTTTTATCATCATTATTATAAGTTGTTTGTTGATTAGTTGTCGCTGTGTTGCTGTGTTCTTATATACTTACATCCTTAAAACATTGGTAAAGTACGATCACTGTCACGAGTAGTGAACAATTTATTATCATTGCATAGTTAAATAATACTATTTTTATATTAATAAGCAATGTGTTAAATAAGAATTATTCATATTTTTGTCTATTAAATTATGATATAAAATAAAATATAATGGTTTTTAAATATGCATTTTTTTTAATTATTATCTACATTATAAAGTCAAAATAACATCCTAACTAGTCTGTTTTCTTAAGAGGTTGTAATTGTAAATAATTAATGACGCTGTTTAATTTTTTTATTTATTTATCACGGGTACCTTAGCACACAAATAATCGCGTAAATAAGCCTACATACAAATGTATGTTCACAGATAATGACCTAGATTACCTATAATTAAATTTTCTAAGATTAACCAAATTTAACAAATCGCACACTAACTTCAATGAACATGATAATGACTTATTAATCATTAAAAACCTATATCGATGCCCCGCCACTTCCACACGCATAATGATTATAAACAATTAGGAACCACTATTATACCATTGTACCAACGTCTTCCGCTTATATAAGATTTTAATGAAAACTCACATGTAGGTAGCTAATAACAGCAGAAATTACTCTTCCTAGAAAGGTCCAATCCGAGTTGCTGTTTGGAGTAGTACATAGTTTTTTAATGTGTCTCCCGAACGAGCGTGTCGAAGACAGAATAAATCAGAAAATACTTATGATATTAAAATTAAAAGGGTCCGGGCATTTTCATATACGACGAACTGTGTTTTATATAGGTACGGTGAACTTGCTGACGCAACAATAAATAAAAGGTTTTATTTAAATTTTAATTTTGAAAAAAATAAAAAAAATATAAAACTGCAATTCTCTCCTCGTCAGCCCCTGTGCGAGGTAATATAATAATAATAATAAAATAATAATTCTCTAGCTAGACGCTAACGTCATAGTTGAACGTTAGCGTTTTATGAAAAGCTATAGATAAAAGTATCATCACTTTGACTATTATTACACTACTTAAAATGTAAGGGCTCAGAATAATTTTGTGAACGGGAATTAGCGCACTAAGTAGCGTACCTACGTATTGCAGAGGGTATAGTGTACGATAATTTACTAGGCAGGCGTATGTATTGTATTGCGCAGGTTTTAGACTGAATACTAGGTATCTATGTTGTATTGCGGAGGGCAGTTTAATGAGGCGGTTTGTAGCAATCAGCGAGATCTGGCGAGTGTCAGGTCGGATGGTCGGAAGGACCGAGGCGCGGCTAACGTGCCCGCGCGGCGCCGACGGAATTCAGCCGCGAACAATACAATGGGAGGTCGGGGATCAGCCGGTACCCATTAGATAACGCGCTAGCCGTAGTTATGTTATCCATACTATTCATAAAAATATTCTAAATGAGAACTAACCATCCCTTGATTGCTTCGTCCTGATTCTTTATGACATTATTAGCAAATTGCTAAACGTTGCTTTCTCAAATTCATATTCCTTTTTCTATTGCTTCAACATTGTCGATTCTTTAATTTAATTATCTACGGAGAATTTTTAATGTAAATTGGCAGAAATTCAAAGACTGGTTAAAGCTTTATAAATAAATGAAAAAATTAGATTGAAGATAACAATTTCATTTTCCCATATAAACCTACATTCCTGTCAACCTATGAAAATGGCAATGCCATGCCAAAAACATTACCATCAGCCATTTTAGCGAAGGGAGAGTTTTACTGTCGCTAACATAGGTGATACGAAGAAAGGTAGGTCATCAAGTGAAAAATAAAATATGATTATTCTACTACAAAGTTTCTTTGTTTCAGGACGAGCGAACTGGTGGCTCTCGTGGCGGTGTCTTGCACGCTATTCCTCTTCCTCCACACGCGCGACCTGAGCACCAAGCTGCGGCGCATGCAGGGTCGGCTCAACGATGACGTCACCGCTTTCAACCACCTCACCGACAGTGAGTACCTTACTACCTCCATTTGACGTTTTAGCATTTTCCTCGCGGTATAAGTAATTATGTCTACAGTAGTCTGTTCCTATGCTCTGGGGTTCTAAAACGGCGACATTGCATGAAACATCTAAATGTTTCGTATATGAATTATTCAATGTCCACAACGTATGACGACCTCCGTGGCCCAGTGGTTTGTACGCCGGGTTTCATGGTGTCGCCAACTCGAGAGGTCCCGGGTTCGAATCCCGGTGGGGGCAGATGTTCGTGTGATGAATACGATCATTTGTACTCCAGTCATGGATGTTTAATATGTATTTCTATATAAATATACTTATATATGTACATTATATGTATTCTATCCGTTACCCTAGTATCCCATAACACAAGCCTTTACAGTGCTTACTTTGGGGCTAGGCTAATTGGTGTGAGTGTTGGAAAAAAAAATGTGACTATTATGACGTTTCATCTCTAAGGGGCCATTTTACACATTTTAATGTTAATTGAAAATACTTATAGTTAGTTTTAAGTCCTACTGATCCTAAGAATATTTTTCAGCGGAGAGCTGATGGACTGCGTATTGTTTTGATTATTTTTAATTCATTCTCTCTTTTTTTTTGCCTGTTCATGATTGTAACCATACTGCCTTTTGTAAATTTTATTATTAGTTAAGAGCGGGGCCTCCAAACACAGGCTATATTTGCTTAAATGAAGACTCCAATCGTCCATTTTGTTACCAATGTAAAAGGAAAAATAAATTATTTGTTATTATTATGACACTTTATGGATGAGAAACTTCGTTATGCCTTGTCCTACTCGCAGGTCATAAATTCTGTCACATTTTTAATATAAAATAATTGAAACAAGTTTATTAATTATGTAACCATTTATATACCAAAATGAACATAACAAAACATAGATTCCTATGACCTCCGTGATTTCAATCGCCGCCTTCAATTTGCGCGGCCAGTCGTCTATCGCAGCACGAACGAGGTCCATGTCAATATCGGCGGCTGCCTTAATCAGGGAAGGATGTCTTGAGTGACTCCAAATTGGGATGAGGCTTTGAGCACGCCTTTTCCTCCAAGTGTTGCCATATCTTGTAATCTAACGGACTCAAATCTGGACTAGAGGAGGGCCAGTCTTCGTGCTGGATGAAGTCGATTTCATGCGCTGCCAGCCAGTCTTGTGTGCTCTTCGCTCTATGAGCCGAATTTTGTTGGAATACCCAGTGCCTGTTATTGAAACAGGTTCCACAAGGTTGGGCGACTGTATTTTGATACACAACTGCATTCGTTTTTACACCTTTCTCACAAAAAGGTACCTCTGTTAAGCCCCAATAAGAAACTCCCAACCATACCATGAGCGGGGATGGAAAATGACCTCGTTGGACACGCGGAATACGGTTGCTAGCTTCTTCACTACTGTTTGCGTACACCTTATCATTTCGTTTGTTGTAGCTCTCTTCTACGGTAAAAAAATTTCATCCGAATAAAGAATTTTCCGATTTTTTTTTCCCGCGTACCGCTTCAACGAAGCACGGCATCTCTTCAGTCTCAGGTCCAGTAGACGAGCATTCAAACGATGTTGTTTTCCCCTGTTTTTCTTCAATATGCCCGAAGCCCTAAGTCTTCATTTAACACCCTTTTCACCGTGGTTCTGCTTAACCCCATCTAAAGGGCCAATAGTTTCTGCTTACGTTTGGGATTTCTTTGTATTCGCGCCTTCACAGCTTTTATCACTGCTGGAGTCCTAAACGACCGAGGGCAACCACTTCGTGACCTGTCATCTACACTACAGTCTTCATTGTATCGTTTGATGGTACGATAAACGAATCTTTTGGTTATATTAAATTTTTCAGTATGTCAAAAATTTGAATTGGCGCGTAACCGCAACGATGAAACACAATAACTGCAACGCGGTCTTCTTACCGGCTAAGCGTCCACTCCATATTTAAAAATGAGTAAAATTCTAAAAAGTATACATTTTTATTTTCATGATTAATTCGAAATTCGAATTCAATAAACTTTTTTGTGGCCAGCATTCTAAAAGAAATGTTTTTACTGTGTGACAATACTTATGACCTGACTGTGTATAATGAAAAACAACTTTAAGAGTAGGGCCCTGACAACCGTATTCTCTACATTACTATTGTGTTATGTTGGATCTTGTAAGGTCCATTTACCTACCTCGCTATAAAAAAAAATAAAAAAGGGTCGAAAATACTTTTTTTTTACTTTACTCGTATAAGTAACCCTGCTTTCAGTATTTTGTCCTGTCACATCAGCACACATTCTGTTTTATCATTTAGATGATTTGCTTCCCTGTAAAAAGAATGGCATGATGCTATGTATGCATTACCATGCACCTAATATGTATGATTTTTCGCAATGCATTCTGTTGGGTATTCATTATAAACCATACGTGTACATTGTGTATCACCGAATAGCGATTTTCCAGTACGCATGCGCCCAGTTTAGCGTAAATACAACGTAATTGCCCCCTTCTCTTACTACCTTAGATTAAACATATGTGTAAAGAAGGCGCAGAGGAAAAGCTTCATTTGCGTGTTTATGATTGAGCACTGTCTTAGTCTTAGTAGTACGGCGGGCTGTTTCCGCAACTCGACACCCAGTGCCTATTTTGCGTGGGGACTAGCATTAGTTTTGCCATCCCAGCTCGTCCAGAAAGCTCAGCAGTCCCCGAATGTTGCTGCAGGCTTCTATTAGTGTTCGCGGGCTTCCCATTAGGTAAGTCCTTTGTCTTGTAACGCCTTTGCACTACAGCAGAACATGGGCGCTCGTTTCCTCCTCCTGCTCCAGGCAGGCTTTGCACAGAAGGCTGTCAGAAATAACTATATTATAAAGGTGTTTGTTGAAGTATCCACGATTTGTTTGAGGGCTTATGATTCAGCACTGGCGCCTGTCGGATACGCAGAGTAAAGTTTTTTTTTATTTTTTATATAGCGAGGTAAGCAAACGACTCTATCCCACCTGATGTTAAGTGGTGATAAAGTCCAAACGCGAAGATAGCTAGTACGTAGTTTCTATTGGAGGCGATAGGCCGGCAAAGTTCTTTCACATACGCGCACTAATACACTAATTGATATCAGTACCTATTAAAATAAAGTACAATTATTGGCTGTGTACGATGTGTATTTGACATGAATATTGGAAGCGATTTGACTGTTCTGTCCAAAAAAGTAGTTGATAATATTACTAAAAATCATGAAATAGAAAACAATTTTTGATCCATTGTCACGTGACCAAAACCGCCTAGGATTAGCAGGGCCTAAAATTACGACACCTACTTGTAAATATGCTGTCGAAGTGACATTACTTTGTACTGTTTGATGTTTTAATGAGAGCCGTGTGACGTCACCTGTCTGTAAGACACCATTGGAGAACGACGCCGTTGCGCTAGAGAAACAAAATTTTAAAATAGAATTTTAATTTTCGTTTTTTTACTGATATACGCAACAAAATTATCAATATCCACTTTTATGGAGTCACTATATAGTAATAAATTACGTATAAACGTTTTTAAAAAAATGTCAAATACCATATTGTATAGATCTTTATCTCTGTGCCTTCTTTACTCATGTGGTTTAAACGCTAACTAATACCCATGTTTCACGCAACCGTAGGCGGACACAGATTTCAGGTATACCATAATAATTCCATTAGCCGGTAATGCGGCCTTTGAATTCCAAATTTCTGCCATGAATAAATTTTCATGAAAATTAGGCATTAATGTTTCCTCGTGTTGTGTCGTAACGTAATACAAATAAGTTTTAGTAATTTACATAAAATTACGAGTAGGTTTCATGCTTCTTGTTGTACCTACTTTTCAAATTTATTTTCGCGGTTGCTGTAAATAATCCTTTAAAAAAATCAATTGTTAAAAATATTCATCTTGTTATAAGTTTCTTCCGTTATTAAATTGCATTAAAAATAATATTTATATAACAAGGAAATGAATATTTATAAAAAAAATCCATATTGTGCAGTGCGGTGTTAGTAACCTTTGGTTATTTAAAAATAGATTAGACATTTACAGGTAGAGAGATTCAATGAAAGTGAACATGTAGTTATTTGTTTAATTAATTATTTTAATATCAGTTCAATATATTAAAATATTGTAGATATCTTTATTCACATTAAATGGACACCTTTCGTTAATTAACCAAAGGTGTCCATTTAATGGAATACGAGTAATTACTCGACTAAATATTTCGTTTGCATTAAATACGCAAATATGCACATAATTATTCTTTTCGTTCTATGAATAACATAAAGATTAACAAGCACATGTAAATGTTAGTAGTTAAACATACTCTGGTTTGCTTAATAGCATTCCGTGCGAAATTTCTATTTGGTATGATCCAGTAAGTAGATAGGAGGTGCCTTAATTGAGACGTTAACGGTTAATGTGTGGTTAAAAACTCATGTGTTGCCATATTAGTAGGCCCGGACGGTATTGTCCCACTAATATCGCGTCCGATTCGCGTGCGACTTTACATTAAGTTCACTGCTACGGGAATTTGAACAAACTTTCACTGCCACATAAAAAATATGATGCGGCATCTGAGCCGATTCACTGCGATACCGTTCACTGGGCTTCTCCGATCTGTTTTTGTTTGTAGGGTTCCGTTCACAAAGGGTAAAAACGGGACTCTATTACAAAGTCAGTCTGTCTGTCCGTCCGTCTGTCCGTTTGTCGGTCTCTCACCAGGCTGTATCTCATGAACCGTGATAGTTAGACAGTTGGAATTTTGTTGGAAGCTGTTGCCGCTATAATAAGAAATCCGAAATACAGAATAAAATAAATCCCATACAAAAAGCGTGATTATTTGCTGTTTTTTGCTTTATAATAATAACGGCAACAGGTAGACGCTTGAAATATTCACAGAATATTTAGTTGTATATTCAATCTAAAAATAAATAATTAAATAAAAATTAAAATTAAAAGGGGACTCCCATATAACAGACGTGATTTTTGCCGTTTTTTGCTCGATATTATAATGAAGTATCTA